GCTCTTCCGTTCGAAAAAACATTCGCGTGGGACGTTTTGGAAACGCTCTGTTCTCTTATCGCGATTTCCTTAAGGGAGCGTAATCTGGTCATCTGCTCCGTTCCGCATATGCTTCTCGCGTTTAGGGTTATTTTTCATGTGCTGTCCTTCCCGTCTATCCCATTGCCCTCACCCTTCCCGTCTCGCCATTTCTGTCTCGACCTCGCCCGAAGCTTACAAGGTTGTGATCCGCGATATGAGGTATTTTTTTGACCTCACACTCTCGCCCTACCCGATATTCATCTCATTCCTTCCCGCGAGGTCGTATTCGATCCTCTCACAGTAATTTTTGTTCCTATGATCGTTAGAAATGAAACATTGGAATTTTTTGCTGCGGAATGTTTGATTTACTGTGAAATAATTAGGATCATTTTCCGTTGTTCAAATTTTCATGCTTGAGAATTTTTACCATTTTTATTGCGGTTGAAATGCTTGGGAATTTCACGTTGATTTGAATGATGCTTTGAATGATGAGGAAATATTGAATGCAAGAATGCTTGGGAAGATTTTCATTTCCCTTGATCGTTTGAAATAAAAAATATGGATTTTTTATTAACCTAACACTGTATGCTTTGTTCTTTATAATGGTGCATTTACATGAAGAACACATTTTATATGCTCATCTTTATTATAATTGGGCATTTACATGCCCAAGCATTCCCGCATATCCAAATTTATGTCAGCTCTGTTGAATCTGTTGGATGGTTTTAGAAAGAAGTGATGATTTGGGACTGAGACATGGTTGAATGAATGTTACGAATGAGAATGGTTATAGAATTGAGGAGCTGAAACATATGAGTGAATGTTGGAAAATTACTTTGTTACTTTAGTTTCTGTTATTTACTTATTCGAATCACATGTTGAATGAAGTGATGATTTGGGACTTCTTTCTTGAGCTTTATTATTCTTATTCCTCTCCAAATAAATGCTGACAGTTATGTATTGTCTTTCTCCATTTGGTGGGCTCGGTTTTGGCCCCTAGAAGACTGGATTTCAGTTGAAATTTCTGTACTGATTTTGCCCCGTTCATGGTGGTCCGGTTTTGCCTCGAAATGGTTCAGTTTTGTCCATTATTTTGGGCCTGAATTTGTGTCGTGACGGCTGTTTTTTTTTTAGTTACATATTGGGTTTGGACTTGCTTTTGGGTTGGCCCTGTGTTAAACATAAGGCATGATTTTTGCTGTTTCTTTAAGGCATTCTATGATTGGAGTTATAAACAGCTGAAGTTTGGTTTGTAAGATTTTTTGTTGTTGCTTTGAGTCCTGTTTTGCTCCTTACAGTTGCTGCCCCTATTTTCGAATCGAATGCTAGAAGAATTGGTACAGCGGGGGCCCTTTTTCTCACCATTTAAGCATAAACTGTTTTAACATCACCTAAATTTCTACAATACAGATAACAGTGAAGGCTTAGGTACTTACAAAATCTGATATTTGATCATTATTACAAGTCATTGATATACAAGTCATTTCCAGAGTATCTCTTGAAAGTTGGAACTTCACTTCCGATTTGGTTATAGTT